TGTGATCCTCCATCTACTGAGAAGCAGAGGAGAACAGAACATTCATGAACATTAGTAATGTTTTCCACTGAGTGCTTTGCTTTAGGTAATAATAAGGCTGAAATTACCCAGGGAGCAATCATAACAAAGATATGGGACTCAACACTTAGCATATCTATGCATGTGGAGAAAGGACCTTCAAGTTAACCTTTGAATAGTTAAATCTAGGTATACTTGGTTAGGTTTTTGGAGAGCAGTCCTTACTTTTATGTTAAAATTATTCTAAATGATTCATCTTATCTTTCCCCACTCCCTAATTAAATTTACTGTGTTTTAGAAATTTGTGTTTTTTACTTAAAACCAAAAGAGTTTGGTAAATTTCTGAAGCACTAATGAATTACTTAAGAATTCTTGAGAAAATAAATTATGAACTCTGTAAAATAGGAAGTGTATTTTACTGTTCTTTTAGAATGTAAGCTATTTACCTAAATAGTCTTAGCCCTTTGATGCTGGATCCCTTACATCTGATCCTCATTGCTGTGATTGTAGAATTCTTTAGAAAATCAGTATGACGTTAAAGTTAAAACACGGAAACCTAAAACCTCAAAATGTGAGCACTGGGAGGGACTTAGATGATCTCTAAGGCCAGTTGGCTTACTTAAGCAGAGAAAGTTATTTCATGGGGTTGCTTGACTGTTAGGTGTTTGGTATTTTGATTTCCTAGTATTGTTGTACTCTTAACCAAGTTTGTTTTCCTCTGCAAAATGCTCTCTCACTACACAATACAGCACATCACTAGAGAACAATTTCAGCCTTTGCCATGTTCAGTTGACACCATTTTTAAAAGAATACTGGGACGTTTTATTTTTTCATGTAACGAATTTATTAAGCACCTATTAATAATATGGGAGTCCCTGGGTGGTGCAAATGGTTAAGCACTCAACTACTAGCTGAAAGAAAGATTGGCAGTTTGAACCCACCTAGAGGCACCTCAGAAGACAGGCCTGGCAATCTACTTCTGAAAGGTCACAGCCTTGAAAACCCGAAGGAACACAGTTCTACACTGCTCAGGTGCAATCACCATGAGTCAGAATTGACTCAATGGCAACTAACAACAACAACAGTAATACTAGCTAACATTAATTTAGTGCTTACTATGGGCCTGGCATTTTATACTTTTTTTAAAGTGAAGTGTAACTTACATGCATAGACCTTAAGTGTGTACCTTCATGAATTCTTATATACCATTTCCAGTTCAAGATATGCAATATTTCTAGCCCCCTAGAATAGAAATCAGATTTTTTTTCTATAAAGTACCCAATAGCAAATATTTTAGGCTTTGCAGGCCATACCGTCTCTTTCTCAACTATTCAACTCTGCCTTTGTAAAACAAAAACACACATAGACAATATGTAAATGAATGAGAGTGACTATTCCAATAAAACTTTATTTAGCTGGGTTTGGTCATGGGCCATAATTTGCTAAACTCTGCCATAGAAGGTTCCTGGGTGGGCATTTTATATTAACCCTCCCAGTGACTTTATTGTATAATTGGCATACAATAAAATATATAATTTTATAAGTTTTGACATACGTATATACTTGTAAAACATCACTGTAATCAAGATTACAAACATTTCTATCACTCCTAGAAGTTCTTCCTCTTGCCCCTTTGTAATCCATTCCCCTTCCTTTCCTACTTGCTGTTACTATATCAATATAGCTTCCATATTCTAGAATTTGATACAAATGGTTTCAAATACTATTTCTCTTTCTCTTCTCGTTCCTCTCTCCCCACGCTTTCCTCCTTCTCCCTCTTCCTTGTCCCTCTTCCATCGCTCTCTTTTTCTATTTCTCCCCTCCGCTGTTCTTATCTGGCTTCTTTCACTCAGCATAATGGTTTTCTGATTCATCTATGTTATTGCTTGTATCTATAATCTTTTTTTTTTTTTTAATGTTGAATAGTATCTCACTGCATAGATGTAGCATAGTTTATCCATTAATCTGTTGATCAACATTTGGATTGCTTCCAGTATTTGGCCATTAAAAATAAAGCAGCTATGAACATTCATGTATATGCTTTTGTGTGGACATATGCTTTTATTTTGTTTTGCTAAGTACCTAGGATTGGTACAGATGAGTTGTATGATATGTGTATCTTTAATTTTTTAAGAAACTACCAGGTTGTTTCCCACAGTGGTTTACTATTTTACATTCTCATCATCACTGTATGAGTGTTCTAGTTGCTCCACATCCTTGCTGACACCTTGTATAGTCAGACTTAAATTTTAGCCATTTTAGCGGGTGTGAGGTAGCATGTCATTGTGGGTTAAAATTGCATTTCCCCAATAATTAATAATGTTGAGCATCTTTTTCTGTGTGAATTTGTCATCGTATACATTCTTTGGTGAAGTGTCTGTTCCAGTCTTTCACCTACTTTCTTATTGGTTTATTTTCTTCTTATAGAGTTTTGAGAGTTCTTTATATAATTTGCATACAAGTCCTTTATCACCTATATGATTGCAGTATTTTCTCCCAATGTGTGCATTTTCTTTTAATTTTCTTAACAATATAATTGACATTATTTTAACTTGCCATATAGTATAGTTGTTAAAAAGCGTACTCTCTGATTGTCAAGACTGTGAGGGAGTTTTGAATCTTAGCTGTGGGACCTACGGAAAATCAATTGATACTTCCAAGTCCTGGGGTCCTCCTCTAAAACTTTTTTGTCATATACATTTCTGGTTCTTTTATGCTTTACCAGAAAATTTATATGATTAAAAATTTGAATATGATTTAGTATTATTGGTAAAAAGACACATTTTTAGGGATTTACAGATGATTCTGTCTTAGAAGAAGTATGGCCAGAATGCTCCTTAGGAGCAAGGATGGCAAGACTTTGTCGCAGATACTTTGGACATGTTATCAGGAGGGACCAGTCGCTGGAGAAGGACATCATGCTTGGTAGAGGAGAGAATCAGCAAAAAAGAGGAAGACCCTGAACAAGATGGATTGACACAGTGGCTGCAGCAGTGGGCTCAAGCATAACAATTGTGAGGATGGCACAGGACCGGGCAGTGTTTCATTCTGTTGTACACAGGGTCACTGTGAGTTGGAACTGACTTGACAGCACCTCACAACAACAACAACAGATTATTCACAAATATAGAAATAGTCACTAAAGCTTAATCGCTCTTTATAACTTTTGGATTTATATACTTCTCTTTTACTAGTTTGGTGCCCCACCTTTTCTAGATGAAAGGGATGATCCAAAGGTATACTTTCTCATAACTATGTAACAGTCTTATAATCTAGACTATCTTAATGAGGCCCGTTTGTCTTGTTGCCATCATCATTTCGTTATTTAATAATTGAAATTCATAAAAATGGAAGTGATTTGTAGTATGTGCTCTCTAGTTGAAACTGAGTGGGAACCACTTTAATGCATCTACATGATTTTTTTGCAGAATAGTGATATTGACTTTGAATGGTTGGTATATCCTCTGTGAGCATGCTCTGTGTGATTATTAAATGTATATTTATGGAAAAATGCTATAATGTGAACTTTTTATAAATGTCAGCATTGTGACCAAATAAACTAAACAGTTGACTAAGCAGATTTATTTTAAAAAAAATATGAACATGACAATGGAGTTTTACTCTGTTTTTGAAGTTTCATATATGACCTTCTGTTATAATAAAATTAAGACTTTTGGGGTATTACTATAGAGACTCAGATAAACCTATATGAGAAGGTATCACAAAGCAGTTCAACTTTAAGATCATCCATTTAAGCTTGACTGTTGTATTCTACTTCCGTCATCCCATCAAGCAATATTTAACATTGTATGATGGCATAGGGGACTTTTGGAGGAGAAAGCATTTTATATTTTTGTGTAGCTTTGCATTTGTTACTATCAACAAAATACAGATAAAACTTGTTTTTCATCATGTATTTTAATAGGAAAGTATCCTATCATAGCATCTTTATCATAGGTCAACTAGTTATAAATCTTAGGTTTTCATTAATCACTAGTCATTTTTCCTTAGCATTCTAGTTAGTAATTTGAAGACCCAAAGGTATGAGCTTTAGAAATCAAGGCCACTACAAGATAGTTCAGAATGCCTGGCACCATACTTCCATAGACTTTGTGAGAGTCAGAAGACCTGAATTCTATTCCTGTCTTTTTTAGTCAGTGTAGCTGTAATCCTGGCCAAGCATCTCTTTGCCTGTTTTTTAATCTGTCAGATGAAGATAAGGGTCCTTTATATATCAAAGATTAGTATGATACAGGATGGTAAAAGAATGCATTGCAAAGTCTGATATAATTTATTAACTAGTAGATTTTTTTAAACGAAAGCATTCAACGTAAGTTAAATTATTTAAAAAGTACAATGCTATAAGAAGAACTCTGCAGTTGACCCTTCTTAGAAGAGTAGAACCAACTGTACTTCTTTTTGTTCTAAAATAGTAGGTTTGCATGCATCTGCCTTCTCAGAGGAGGGCAATCTTGCATATTGAGTCAAAAGCGGATATAGGCTAGAGATGTGAAGTAAAGATGAATTGAGAACATGAGCTACTTTATCTCATGACCAGCCCTAATCTTTTTGACTAGCATTTTACCCACTACATTTATCTTCTTCCTGCAAGCTTCATTTTCTTCTATTCTTGTCCTTTTCCCTCCACTCCTAGCTTTCTTATTTCCTTTACTACTTCTCTTCTCTTAGAACGAGGTAAGAGGAGGATAAAATGACTGACTTTGTCATATTGATATTTATAGAGAATGGGTTGTACATGCACAGAACATAAAACTAGACAATTGGGTACTCATACAATATGACCAGCCACTTCTGCTTTTTGGGTCATGGATGTGTGTGAATGTTCTTGATCCCACCCATTTATATTGCTGTAGAATGGAAGAGATTTGTTTATAGCATTATTCCTAAGATCAAAGAGGTTATATCTAAGTATAAACCCTGTCTGAATTATGATTCTTTAATCTCTTATTATTTCTTTCTAGGACAGGAGCGGTTTGGCAACATGACTCGAGTATATTATAAAGAAGCTGTTGGTGCTTTTGTAGTCTTTGATCTATCAAGAAGTTCCACATTTGAGGCAGTCTTAAAATGGAAAAATGATCTGGACAGTAAGGTCCATCTCCCGAATGGCAGCCCTATTCCTGCTGTCCTCCTAGCTAACAAATGTGACCAGAAAAAGGATAGCGGCCAGAACCCTCCCCAGATGGACCAGTTCTGCAAAGAACATGGCTTCAGTGGATGGTTTGAAACCTCTGCAAAGGTAAGATCTGCTTTGCTTTATGAATCCCTTGTGCTGTTTAGATTGTAAATTTCAGTTCCAATTATAAAGTGTTTTGATGGATTTATTTGAGTGGTTTTTGGAAGCCTAGAAACTGTGAAACCTAGCATGGATATGTTATTGCTTCTTTCAGTCTGCAGCAGCAGTGCTTTCAAATTTTAACAAGATCCCCATCCCCAGATGATATAAGAATCACTTGGGGATCTTGTTAAAATGTAGATTCTGATTCAGTATATCTGGGGTATAAATGCAAATTCTCAGCAGAGGTTTGAACTGGCATGAACTGGTTCAAAGCCCTGCTTTCAAAATTGGCCAATGGAGAGGTCAATAATAGAAGGGCAGATTTTTTAATTAAAATATAAGTGGGCCACTTATTTAGAGCAGAGGAAAAAAATGTCATTTTTTTGTGTGTTTGAGTCTTTTAATGAGAACCTTACACTACTGGCGTTGACAAAGGGCGAGGTGCATTGTGAAGCACAAACATTTTTTATTTTTACAGAGTCTAAAAGAGATGGGAGGGGTGTCTCTGGTGAAGATGTAGGTCCCCTGCAGAACTAATGAAGGCAATGAGAAGGTCAGAGAGAAGATTTATTCAAATGATGTTTGAAGAGTTTTAGATTAAGTATGAAAGAATTTGAACAAGGGGAAAGTGTTAACATTTGTGACATGCTTCTTCATGAATAACAGGCAAGAATTTGTTCGTTGTTTTTTTTTTCTTTATGGAAAGCTGGATAAAATGATTTTTGAAGGAAAAAAAGATTTTTCCAGTGTGACCTGGAAACAGAACACTTACGTTGGTTATCAAAAATCTTAACAGTATAGATGTATAAGAAAACAGTGGTGATAATCCCAAGTACAAAATATTGAGGGAGACTTTGTTTTTGTGTTTCAGAAATTTCACATAACAGGATCGAATAACATTCACACTTAAATAAGCATGATTAAGTGTTTGACAAGTTTCGTGACAAATTTCGTGATGGCATACACTAAGCCATAAATTTAGTGTAATCTTAATACAGTTCGAGCTTTTAGTATGCTTTCTGTGCATTTGTTTTATTTATATACATATACAGGAGCCCTGGTGGCATGGTGGTTAAGAGCTCATCTGCTAACCATAAGATCGGCAGTTTGAATCCACCAGCCACTCCTTGGAAACCGTCGACGGCAACGGGTTTGGGTTTTTTTGCTTTTTATACATACAGGTATGTTGTTGTTGTTATTAGTTGCCATTGAGTCAAATTCCAACTCATAGCAACCCAATAGGACAGAGTAGAACTACCCCATAGGGTTTCCAAGGCTGTAAATCTTTATGGAAGCAGATTTCCACATCTTTCTCCTGCAGAGCAGCTGGTGGGTTCAAACCTCTAACCTTTCAGTTCTTAACCACTGTGCCACCAAGGCTCCCTCACATACACATACACATACACATACATACATATACATGTATCCAAAACCTGTTGCTGTTGAGTCGATTCCAAGTCATGGTGATGCCATCTGTGCAGAGTAGAACTGCACTGCATAGGATTTTCATGTCTGGGACCATTCGGAAGCAGATCACCAGGATGTTCTTCCGAGGTTCCTCTGGGTGGGTTTGAACTGCCAACCTTTTGCTTCCTCCAAATTACCTACTTTATTCTGCAGACTTACTACCAGGTTACTTTTAACTTTTACCAGAAACACACCCTCAAAGTAAAAAAATTATTAAGTGCCATTGAGGATCAGAATGATGAAAGCAAAACTGTGAGAGACTGTACAAAAACACCTCTGAAAATATTGAGAGCAGTGATGATGTCATTGGAATAAGAGTGTCTACTGGAGACAGAAGTGTCTCCGCATAAGCTAAAGGCCATTCCTTTAAACAAATACATCCTAGCATCTTAAAAATTAGTTTACATACACAAGGCTAGAAAGAAGGGACTTAAAAAGATACATGTACACCAATGTTCACTGCAGCATTTTTCACAATAACCAAAAGGTAGAAACAACCCAAGTGTTCATCAACAGAAGAATGGATTAACAAAATGTGGTACCTATACACAATGGAATAATAGCCATAAAAAGGAATGAAGTTCTGATACATGCTGTAGCATCGATGAACCCTGAAAACATTATACTAAGTAAAATAAGTTGTAAACAAAAGGATAAATTCTGTATGATCCCACTTACATGAAACATCTCCAGTAGGCAAATGCATAGAGACAAAAGTTTATTAGTCATTGCCAGAAGTTCAGGGTAAAGGGAATGGGGAGTTATTGTTTGAGAGGTCTTGCGTTTCTGTTTGGGATGATGAAAGACTCTTGGAAGTGGATAGTGGTGATGGCTGTGCAACATGGTGAATGCAATTAATGTCACTGAATTTTACACTTAAAATAATTAAAATGGTAAGAAAAAAATTATATTTTACCACAATAAAAAAAAAATAGTTTCATAAATAAAAAGTAGTGGAGGAAAAAAGATCAAGTTTAGAGATGCTGCATGACCACTTAACCAGACCAGAATGAAGAAATCGTGGAAGAACAGGCTTCTTATACAGGGACTTGTTCTGGACACCCTGATCCCTCTCTGCTCTATATGTCTCTCAGGTGATTTGCTTTTCTTCCTGACTTTGTTGATAGATTAACATTGGTACAATAAACCAAAAAACTCGTTGCCATTGAGTCGATTACAACTCATAGTGACCCTATAGGACAGAGTAGGACTGCACCATAGGGTTTCCAAGGCTATAATGTTTACGGCCACTACGTCTGCCAGTTTGTCATACTGTGGTGGCTTACATGTTGCCGTGATGCTGGAAGCTATGCCACCAGTATTTCAAATACCTGCAGGGTCACCCATGGTGGACAGGTTTCAGTGGAGCTTCCAGACTAAGACAGACTAGGAGGAAGGACCTGGTGATCTTTTTAAGAAAACGTTATGAATAGCAGCAGACATTGTCTGATATAGTGCTGGACGATGAGCACCAGGTTGGAATGCACTCAAAATACGACTGGGGAAGAGCTTCCTGCATCAAAGTAGAGTCGACCTTAATGACATGGATGGAGTCAAGCTTTTGGGACCCTCATTTGCTGATATGGCATGACTCAAGATGAGAAGAAACAGCTAAAAATATCCATTAATAATCAGAGGATGGAATGTACAAAGTATGAATCAAGGAAAAATGGAAGTTGTCAGAAATGAAATGGAGCACATAAACATCAATATCCTAGGCATTAGTGAGCTGAAATGAATTAATATTGGCCACTTTGAATCAGACAATCATATGTTGTACTATGCTGGCGATGACAAAATGAAGATAAATGGTGACACATTCATCGTCAAAAAAAATTTCAAGATCTATCCTGAAGTACAATGCTGTCAGTGATAGGACTATATCCATATGTATACAGAAACCAAAAACCAAACCCGTTGCCATCAAGTCGGTTCCGACTCACAGCAACCCTACAGGACAGAGTAGAACTTCCCCATAGGGTTTCCAAGGAGTGCCTGGCAGATTCGAACTGCTGACCTTTTGTTTATAAGCCATAGCTCTTAACCACTATGCCACCAGGGTTTTCTATATATACAAGGAAGACCAATTAATATGACTGTTAATCAAACTTATGCAACAACCCTTATGCCAAAGTTGAAGAAATTGAAGATTTTTACCAACTTCTACAGTCTGAAATTGAAAAGCATCCAAGATGCATTGATAATTACTGATGATTGGAATGCAAAAGCTGGAAATGAAGGATCAGTAATTGGAAAGTATGGTCTTGGTGATAGAAAGGACACCAGAGGGCGCATGATAGAATTTTGCAAGATCAATGACTTCTTCGTTGCAAATACTTTCTTTCAGCAACATAAATGGCAACTATACTTGTGGACCTTGCCAAATGAAATACACAGGAATCAAATTGACTACATCACTGGAAAGAGACGATGGAGAAGCTCAGTATCATCAGTCAGAACAAGGCCAGGGGCTGATTTCAGAACAGACCATCAGTTGCTCATATGCAAGTTCTAGTTGAAGCTAAAGAAAATTACACCTCCACAACAGCCAAAGTATGACCTTGAGTATATCCTACCTGAATTTAGAGACCATCTCAAGAATATATTTGATGTATTGAACAGTAATGATTGAAGACCAGATGAGTTGTGGGATGACATTAAGGAACTCATACATGAAGAAGGCAAAAGATCATTAAAAAGACAGGAAAGAAAGAAGAGACCAAAATGGATGTCAGAAGAGACTCTGAAACTTACTCTTGAACGTAGAGTAGCTAAAGCAAATGGAAGAAATGATGAAGTGAAAGAGCTGAACAGAAGATGTCAAAGGGCAGCTTAAGAAGACAAAGTATTATAATGAAATATGCAAAGACCTGGAGTTAGAAAACCGAAAGGGAAGAGCAGTCTCAGCATTTCTAAGATGAAAGAACTGAAGAAAAAATTCAAGACTCAAGTTGCAAATTGAAAGGATTCTTTGGGTAAAAACAAGAATTCCAGAACACTTAATTGTGCTCATGAGGAACCTGTACATAGACCAAGAGGCAGTCGCTTGAACCGAACAAGGGGATACTTTGTGATTGAAAATCAGGAAATGTATGCCTCAGGGTTGTATCCATTCACCATATTTATTCAGTCTGTATGCTGAGCAGATCATTCGAGAAGCTGTAGTATATGAAGAAGAATGCAGCATCAGGATTGGAGGAATACTCATTAACAACCTGCGATATGCAGATGATACACCCTTGCTTGCTGAAAGGAAAGAGGACTTGAAGTACTTACTGATGAAGATCAAAGACTACAGCCTTCATTATGGATTACACCTCAACATAAAGAAAAAAATTCTCATAACTGGACTAATAAGCAACATCATGATAAATGGAGAAAAGATTGAAGTTGTCAAGGATTTCATTTTATTTGGATCCACAAGCAACGCCCATGGAAGCTGCAGTCAAGAAATCAAAAGACGCATTACATTGGGCAAATCTGCTGCAAAAGACCTCTTTATCTTTAAAGTGTTAAAAAGTAAAGATGTCACTTTGAAGACGAAGGTGCGCCTGACCCAATCCATGGTATTTTCAGTTGCCTCTTATGCATGCAAAAGCTGTACAGTAAATAAGAAAGGCCAAAGAAGAATTGATGCCTTTGAATTATGGTGTTAGCAAAGGATATTGAATATACAGTGGACTGAGAGAAGAATAAACAAATCTGTCTTGGAAGTACAGCCAGAATGCTCCTTAGATGTGAGGATGATGAAACTTCCTCTCAAGTACTTTGGATATGTTATCAGGAGGGATCAGTCCCTGGAGAAGAACATTATCCATGGTAAAGTAGAAGGTCAGCCAAAAAGAGGAATACCCTCAATGAGATTTACTGACACAGTGGCTGCAACATTGGGCTCAAATATAGCAGAGATTGTGAGGATGGTGCAGAACTGGACATTGTTTTGTTGTCATACATAGGATAACTATGAGTCAGAACCGACTCAATGGCACCTAACAACAACAACAATCTTAACAGAAGGAGAGTGCCACATCTTTCTCCCTCAGAGTGGCCGGTGAGTTCAAACTGCTGACTTTTTTATTATTGCCCAGTGTGTGACCACTGCGCTGCCAGGGCCCCTTAATTGGCATAATGTTGTTGTTAGGTGCAGTTGAGTAGCTTACGACTCATAGTGACCCTGTGTACAACAGAACAAAACACTGCCTAGTCCTCACCATCCTCATGATAATTGTTATGCTTGAGCCCATTGTCGCAGCCACTATGTCAGTCCATCACATTGAGGGTCTTCCTCTTTTTCAATGACTCTCTAATTTACTAAGCATGATGTCCTTCTCTAGGGACTGATACCTCCTGATAACATGTCCAAGGTATGTGAGATGCACTCTTTTGCAGCAGATTTACCCAGTGTGATGCGTTGTTTGAGTTCTCGATTGCCCCTTCCATGGGCATTGATTGTGGATCCAAGTAAAATGAAATCCTTGAAAACTTCCATCTTTTCTCCATTTATCAACATGTTGCTCATTGGTCCAGTTGTGAGGATTTTTGTTTTTTCTATATGTTGAGGTGTAATCCATAATGAAGGCTGTAGTCTTTGATCTTCATCAGTTAAGTGTTTCAAATCCTCTTCACTTTCAGCAAGCAAGATTGTGTCTTCTGCATATTGCAGGTTGTTAATGAGTATTCCTCCAATCTTGATGCCACGTTCTTCTTCATATAGTCCAGCTTCTTGGATTATTTGCTTAGCATACAGACTGAATAAGTATGGTGAATGGATGCAGCCTTGATGCACACCTTTCCTGACTTTAAACCACACAGTATTCCCTTGTTCTGTTCGAAGAACCACCTCTTGATCTATGTACAGGTTCCTCATGAGCACAATTAAGTGTTCTGGAATTCCCATTCTTCGCAGTGTTATCCATAATTTGTTAAATGATCCACACAGTCCAATGCCTTTGCATAGTCAGTAAAACACAGGTAAACATCTTTCTGGTATTCTCTGCTTTCAGCAAGGATCCGTCTGACATCAGCAATGAATCCATCTGACAGTCAAAATGCATTGAAAAATCTCCAAGGAAGGCTTCATGGAGATTGACATACCATTTCTCCAGAAGTGTAACACAGCCAATGTTTCCTCCAGCATTGTGACAGATTACTTTTGGATTGAAGAAAACATGGCTGGCTTTGTGCCTAGCAATAATGTTGTATGAATAACCCAAATCTTTAAAGACTGGCGCACACTCAGCATTTCAAGATCCTCATACTATGAGAGATACATGGGAACTGAGCCAAACAGGAGGAGCCCTGGTGGTGCAGTGGTTAAAATGCTTGGCTGCTAACCAAGAGATCGGTGGTTTGAACCCACTAGCTGCCCAGTGGAAGAAAGATATGGCAGTCTGCTTCTGTAAAGATTTACAGCCTTAGAAACCCTATGGGGGCAGTTTTATAGGGTCCAACTATGAGTTGGAATCAACTCGCCTGCAGTAGGTTCATTCCACATCCTTTCTGAATCTGCCTTGAATTTCTGGCAGTTCCCTGTCAATGTACTTCTGCAACCGCTTTTGAATGATCTTCAGCAGAATTTTACTTGTGTGTGATATTAATGATAGTGTTCGATAATTTCCACATTCGGTTGGGTCAGCTTTCTTGGGAATAGGCATAAATATGGATCTCTTCCAGTCAAGTGGCCAGGTAGATGTCTTCCAAATTTCTTGGCATAGATGAGTGAGTACTCCTGTGCTGTATCCGTTTGTTGAAACATCTCAATTGGTATTCTGTCAATTCCTGGAGTCTTGTTTTTTGCCAGTGTCTTCAGTGCAGCTTGGACTTCTTTCTTCAGTATCATTGATTCTTGATCATAAGCTCCCTCCTGAAATGATTCAGCGTCAACCAGTTTTTTGGTACAGTGGCTGTGTATACTACTTAAATCTTCTTTTGGTGCGTCCTGTGTCGTTCAGTATTTTACCAATAGAATCCTTCACTATCGCAACTCGAGGACTGAATTTTTTCTTTAGTTCTTTCAGCTTGAGAAATGCTGAGTGTGTTCTTCGTTTTTGGTTTTCTAACTCTAGGTCTTTACACATGTCATTATAATACTTTACTTTGTCCTTTTGTGCCACCCTTTGAAATCTTTTCAGCTCTTTTACTTCATCATTTCTTGCTTTCGCTTTAGCGACTCGAAGTTCTAGAGAAATTTTCAGAGTCTCTTCTGGCATCCATTTTGGTCTTTTCTTTCTTACTTATCTTTTTAATGACCTCTTGCTTTCTTCATATATGATGTCCTTGATGTCATTTCAGTCATTAGTGTTTTCAGTCATTAGTGTTCAATGTGTCAAATCTGTTCTTGAGATGGTCTGTAAATTCATGTGGGATATACTTAAGGTCATACTTTTGCTTTTGTGGAGTTGTTCTCATTTTCTTCAGCTTCAACTTGAACTTGCATATGAGCAACCGATGGTCTGTTCCAGTCGGCCCCTGGCCTTTTTGTGACTGATGATACTGAGCTTCTCCATCGTCTCTTTCCAGTGTTGTAGTCAGTTTGATTCCTGTGTATTTCATTTGGCGAGGTCCACAAGTATAGTTGCCATTTATGTTGTTGAGAAAAGTATTTGCAATGAAGAAGTTGTCGGTCTTGCAAAATTCTATTCCGTGATCTCTGGCATTGTTTCTATCACCAAGACCATATTTTCCAACTATTGATCCTTCTTCTTTGTTTCCAGCTTTCACGTTCCAGTCACCAGTAATTGTCAGTGCATCCTGATTGCATGCTCAGTCAATTTGAGACTACTGCAGAAGTTGGTAAAACTCAGTTTCTTCATCTTTGGCCTTACCAGTTGGTGCATAAATTTGAATAATAGTATTAACTGGTCTTCCTTGTAGGCATATGATTATTATCCTATTACTGACAGCATTATACTTCAGGATAGATCTTGAAATGTCTTTTTGACAATGAATGCAAAGCCATTCCTCTTTAAGTTGTCATTCCTGGCATAGTAGACCATATGATTGTCTGATGCAAAATGGCCAATACCAGTCTATTTCAGCTCACTAATGCCTAGGATATTGATGTGTATGAGTTCTGTTTCATTTTTGACGATTTGAAATTGTCCTAGGTTTATAGTTTGTACATTCCACATTCTGATTATTAGTGGATATTTTCAGCTGTTTCTTCTCATTTTGAGTTATGCCACATCAGCAAACGAAGATCCCAAAAGCTTGACTCCATCCACGTCATTAAGGTCGACTCTACTTTGAGGAGACAGCTCTTCCCCAGTCGTATTTTGAGTGCCTTCCAACCTGATGGGCTTATCTTCTGGCACTTTATCAGATAATATTCTGCTGCTATTCATAAAGTTTTCACTGGCTAATTTTTTTCAGAAGTAGACCACTAGGTCCCTTTCCCTTTTCCTTGTCTGTCTTAATCTGGAAACTCAGCGAAAACCTGTCCAACATGGATGACCCTGCTGGTATTTGAATGCGGGTAGCATAGCTTCCAGTATCACAGCAACACGAAAGCCCCCACTGTATGACAAACTGACAGATGTGTGGTAGTACTGGCACAATATTATTATTAAATTTCCTGATTCTGATAATTGTACTCTGGTTATTTAAGATGTTAACGTTTGAGAAATATGTGTATAAGGTATACAGGATCTATTTTTTTTTACTATTTTTGGAACATTTCTGTAAACCTGAAATTATTTAAAAATGAAGAGTTTTTATTTTAAATAACTACAGTTTTTGCTATGTTGTTTATTGTGTAGTTAGTCACCTTATAAATAAGTGATGCAAATGTTATAGCTAATGATTTCTGAGATTATTCTTAATGGACATCACACCTACAACATTATTTCAGGTTAATTTATAATAATTTGTGCTCAGAGATGGAGGAATGACATGATGCATGATTATGTTTTAATGTGGTTTAGCCCTTTATCTACTTTTTACTTCTTCACCATGTATCCTGAATGCTTGAATTAGATATTCAAGGGCAGGAATTTTTCATCCTAGGTGCTTTCATTTTTGAGAGTGGTATCCCAAGCAGAGTGAAGGTTCATTTTCAACCATCTGGGTAGCTCAATAAACCTCAGTGGCAAAAGTTTAAATAAGAACATCAAAAAGAGTGATCCTTTGTAAAGAAAAGAGAGTTCTATTGCCACATTATTCAATAGCATTGGACTCTTAGGGACCAGATACTTCAGCAGTGGAGAAGAAAATGGTACCTGGTATACTTAGTATATGTCATTGCCCCCTCTGATGAATTTTCCTAATTCCCACTAATATTCTTAATGCTTTCTTCTAGGAATTAATACTGATCTTGTTACTCATTTCTGCATTACAGGATAACATAAACATAGACGAAGCAGCCCGATTCCTGGTAGAGAATATTCTTGTGAACCACCAAAGCTTTCCTAATGAAGAAAACGATGTGGACAAAATTAAACTGGATCAGGACCCCTTGACAGGAGAGAGCAAATCCCAGTGTTGCTAACACGGCTCCTGCTCCTCTCATGCCAAGTGCAGCCTGACTGGGTTCTGCGCGCATTCCTGAGAACAGATTACAGATGACATGCTGCATTGTGAATCTTCATACAGATGGCGCTTTGAAGTGACAGCACCCTAGGAGCCTGTGCTTATTTAAACATGGGACTTTCAGTGAAGTATTCCTCCTAGTGGCTCTACAGCTGAACAGATGAACAGTTAGGCTGTGGTGGTGGTTGTTTGCCATTGCATTGAGAATAATGTTTACATTATTTTTAACATCTTTTTAAATGATAGTTCGTCTGGATTTGGTTAGACTTCCGAGTTGTAGCCTTTAGTGTAAGCGCTAGGGGTGGTAATAAAACTTTACTTGCTGTCTTCTGGTAATTTTGTGAGTCTGTATTACTGTCTCCATGTTCCACCCTTACTCTCAGTAGAGTGACTTGAGCTTTGTTAACACTCCATTAGCCACAGAAGGCTTGATGTTCCTCCTTAGCAATTTTTTTTTTCTATTCAGAACTTTGGTACTTCATGTAAAATTGTTACCCTTAAATATTATAATTTAACTAGTTCTAGCTAGATATGGGTGTCACTTTCTGGATCTGGTTGTTATCACTTGGGAACAATACAGAGTAACATTTTTCTTCTCTCTCCCTGGTCCCATCTCTCTCCTTCCTGTGTGTTTATGCTGTAACTAATATGACTGTTACAATTATCTCTAACTAGAGCTGGTTTTTTTTTTTTTTTAATCTGTAATAGTAGTGGTCAAGGAGAGAATTTATTTCAAAGCATATACTATTAAATTTGAGATTCTGTATTATGAAATCTAAAACTAGCTCGTGTATGGTTTTCTGTAAGGTTTTTGGACATTTAATGTATAATACCTGAGGAACTTAAAGCAGACTCACGATATTTGTATAACCATTTGACTTAGGCTGGGTTCTCTAGAGAAGCAAAACTAGTGAAACAGAAAAAAATGAAACCCATTGCTGTCAAGTCAAATCGTGTGTGTGTGTGTGTGTGTGTGTGTGTATGGAGAGAGATTTATCTCAAGTAAAATACATAGTTGTAGAGGCTGGCAAGTCCAAAGTCTGTGGGTCAGGCGTCAGGCTGGAGGCTTCTCCTGACTCATGTAGCTACAGAGGCTGACTATCCAAGATTGGCACATAAGATGACAGGCTGGTGGCTCACAGGCTGTGGAGTCTGACAAATCCCAAGATCAGCAGGCAATATAGCAGGCTGCTGGCTCAAGTCCCAAGAACTGGAGGTAAGGTGATGACTAGCCAGATGCAGTATCCAGAGCAAGTCAGTGAGCTTTGCCAGAATGCCTATATATATATATATATATATATATATATATCTCGGATGCAGGACACACCCCTGAGGAAACTCCCCTTATAACTGATTGGTTGATCACATCAGATCACATCATGGAGGATGACTATGTCATCATATAACTGCCAAATTACATCATTAAATAACCACCAAACAGCATCATTACAAAACTGCCACACCACTGAGAATCATGGTCCAGCCAAGTTGACACATAACCTTAACCACCACAGTCTACCCCTCATCAGCTTGGCACGTGTACACATCTTAAACGATACGTAATCTCTAAATAAAGACAATTATGAAGTCATACTTGTGCCTAACATGATATAACTAACACACATACAACCAAAAATGTGCTAGCCTTGTTTACATCTTATATTTTATAAGTGAAGAAAACAAAAATACTTGATGCACACATACAAGGAAGAAATACTCATAACAATTATAGTCCTCAGTTCTGCAACTGGTCATGTGGTCATAACTGGTATTTAGAACTACCTTCTACCACTTACTCCGTATTTCCTTTACCCTAAGCAAGTACCTCAGCTAGTTGTGGTTCTTTGCCTGATGGGGTGGCCCAACATTCATTCCTGAAAAGGCTGGGCCATTAGTAATCATGTGAGAATTGGGTTGCTGTAGCTTTCCATTGACTTTAATTATAGGGCATGGCAGTACTAAGAGACACCTTACGGGATCTCCTGTATTCCAGACATACTCTTCTTTTTTGTTTTTTTAATTGTGCTTTAGGTGAAATTTTACAGAGCAAATTAGTTTGTCATTCAAAAACTTATACACAATTTTTTTTCATAACATTGGTTGCAATCCCCGCAGTATGTCAGCACTCTCCCCCTTTCTACCCCAGTTTCCCCATTTCCATTCATCCGGTTTTCCTGTCCCTGCCTTCCTGTCTTTGCTTTTGGGCAAATGTTGTTGCCTGTTTGGTCTTGTATACCTGATTGATCTAAGAAACCCGTTCCTCGTGTGTTATTGTTTGTTTTACAAGCCTGTCTAGTCTTTGGCTAAGAGGTGAACTTCAGGAGTGGCTTCAGTTCTGAGTTAGAAGGGTGTCTGGGGGGCCATAGTCTCAGGGGTTCTTCCAGTCTTTGTCAGATCAGTAAGTCTGGTCTTTTTTATGAATTTGAATTTTGTTCTACATGTTTTTCCCGCTCTGGGACCATCTATTGTGATCACTGTCAGAGCGATCAGTGGTGGTACGTGGGCACTATCTAGTTCTTCTGGGCTCAGGCTGGTGGAGGCTGTGATTCATGTGGTTCATTAGTCCTTTGGACTAATATTTTCCTTGTGTCTTTGGTTTTCTTCATTCTCCTTTGCTCTGGATGGGATGGGACCAACAGCAAGCTTTTAACACCGCAGATGCTACTCACCAAATTAGGATGTAGAACATTTTCTTCATAAACTAAGTTATGCCAGTTGACCTAAATGTCCTTCAAGACCATAGTCTCCAGTCCTCGGCCCCAGTAACTTAGTCCTTCAAGGTGTTTGGATGTGTCTAGGAAGCTTCTATGACTGCCCCCTGTATGCTATATTATATATATGAATATACATGCTGTATATACAAATATGTATGTAAAAATATTCACAGTCTAATATATATGTACATGGGTATATTCCTATATGCCCTCCATCCTCTATTCAGCATACATATCTGTCTTATTTGCTTTTAAGTTACTAGTTCTTTTTACTGTTGTTGTAGGGTTGTATATGCTATAGTATTTACTGTGGTTACCATTTTTAAATTTTTTATTGTACTTTAGATGAAGGTTTACAGAACAAATAGTTTCTCATGAAACAGTCAGTACACATATTGTTTTATGACATTGGTTAACAACCCCACGACATGTCAACACTTTTCCCTTCTCAACCTTGAGGATCTTTTTTTTTGGTGAAAATATACATAACCAAAGTTTTACCATTTCGAAAGTTTCTACATGTACAATTCAGGACATCGATTACATTCTTCCAGTTATGCTGCTATTCTCACTATCCTTTTCCAGATTATTCCGTCACCATTATCTTCAACTCGGTGTCCCCTAGGCTTCCCATCAAACCTTTTGAGTTGCTGTTGTCAATTTGATCTCACAGT